TAATCATTGGTCATATGACAGATATAAAACATAACACATCTTCAGTAGGTAAAGTACAATAAGTGGATGGAGGAGTGTTGAAGGGAGTATGGGTAGAATTTGAGACGAGACGACCTTGAAGCTGATTTTAGGATAACAAAAGAAGACCTACGTCAACTGTCGGTAAGATACGGATGAGCTACGACAAGGGCACTGATGTTATTTCAGTACCAGGCACCGTTAGTCGGCAACAGGCATCAACAGGAAAAAGGTAAATGACCGCATGATGTCTTTGTTCATGTCATCTGCTTCTGCTGTATCCGGTTTGATGCAAATAAACCTTACATGTGAAGTGAAGCTGCCAATTCTGTTCGTCATCTGTGAGTCTGTGTCACTGTTTCTGGGTTCTTACGTGGGAGTTTGTGGTCTCTCACTGTAGTCAGATCGCTAAAGGTTTACGTCAGATAGACATCAATCAAGATGCACTGAGGCTGCGAAAATAAACCACAACAGAAGCATGTCTGTATAGTGGGTTCTTTTCTTCTGTTATTTGCCCTTTTCAGCTCCCTGTGATTGTGGTGAACACAACAGAATAATTCATACTAGGAGAAAATGTACTTTATAGTTATATTATAAACAAACCATCATCTGAGTAAACTGTATATTGTAACCTAGTAGATTAGCAGGTAGTAGCTCACCCAAAATGGGGCATATTGTCAGAATCACTTTTACTGGCCAGATATGTGGAAGGAATTTGACTAACTTGTAACTTTGATATAACAAAAAAATTATTTAAGCATCTTTTGTTGTTGCTGCTTGACTTAAATGTCATTATTAAATTAACATTATGAAAGTCACTCAAATAAATCAGCTGCTGAAGTATAAGACTGGTAGGTTTTACTCCATATACCTGTGTATAACCTGCACCAAACCACTGGTTTAAAATGTGAACTTGATCCTCACCAGTGGTGTAGCAGTGCCTGGAGAAGAGGGTATTCTTAATGTATTTGCACATTAATGTATATGCACTTTGCGGTTTGACTTCAGGGATAAAGAACATTATACAAATTAACATTAGCCACAGAAGAGGTGTAGCTTTTGTGATCACTACTGGCTCACATAGATAACTAACTTACATAGGCTAATTATGCATTTAGAGTTAAGTATACTTTATTCCTGACTCCATCCACTCATGAAAACCAGCTCACAGAACCCTGCTGAGTGATAAGCCAATGGGATTTAGAAGTTGCTATATTTATATTTTATTAAAATATAAAAAAAAAAAAAAAAAAGAATGAATGAATGAATGAATATCTTAATGCCTCTGCACTGCACTTAACCACTGGTCCTCACACACACACACACACACACACTTGTTGATTTGATTGGTCAAAGAAGAGACAGGACTCATTCCTCTCTCCCTCTCCCTCTCTCTCTCTCTCTCGGTTCAACGGGAAGACAATCAGCGGTGCTTCTGTTAGCGTTTGCTAGTTGCAAAAATATCAATATATCGATCGATTACGTGCGCCTAGCAACACAGAGGCTGACACTAACGTTCTACCGGTGAGTCAATCTACGGCAGCAACTCGCTGTCTTTGTTGGTTTTGAGTCGCTGAAGTTAACTGAAGAGTTGTTCGGCAGTCACAGTTGTCAATCAGTGTTTGTGGTAACAGGTCAGCAGTGGCAAACAGCACATTAACGCCCAACGTTACTTTAAGGTGATAATAGTAACGGTTAGGCGACGGTTAGGTGACGGTTGACATGTATTAACGCTGCTAATTCTTACTGAATTAACGTTAATTGACGGTTAACAATAACGGCTGTTTGCTGTTAGTTTCCGTTCGAAGGGGGAAGAACGTTACGCTGGTTATGGCGTAATGTCGTTAACGTTAATGTCATGTACCGAAACGTCACTCCTCGTAAACTGAAGTGTAACGTTAACGGCAGCTGAGATTAATGAACCCGTTTTAACGTTTTACCCGTTAACGGGGTCCAGAGGTGTATTAGGGTTAGGGTTAGCTAAACTGACGCTTGTTAATTGGTCGTGTTAAGTTTAAAGTGACAACCGGAGAGTGAGCTGTGTGTAACGTAATCGGTCCAATCTCGGGACGCCTCCAGTTTCCTCCAATTTTTTTGACATTGAATAATATCGGGAAAAGCCACAATAATTAAGTGATCTTGTGACTGTATATTATCAAATGGTGTCTCTTTGACTTTCAAAATCACTCTGACCCTGTGTGAACCTGCGCACTGACAATGGTCTGAACGTGATGTTGCTGCGCCATCTTGTGGTTACAGTTTAATTTACAGCCTGTGGTTATTTTATTTAGCTGTAAGAAGACTCTCATGTCCAGATAGATATGTGTATAAAACTAAACTAAAATGTATAAACCAGTTAGAGTAGATGTCCCTCCACAGGTGGACAGACTTTGCTTGTTGTGTGATCCAGATGAAACTGAGGAAGAGGTTCACTTTTTGTTTTGCTGTTTTGTCTACAAGCACATAAGGGATGTACGTTTTCTGTAGAATGTCCTCCATTTGTGGTGATTTCTTTTGATAATTATGACAATGTTGAATTGTGCTTCAAGAAGGTAGCCTTTCCTTTTGTGCCATGCTTGGGAGATAAGGCAGAATATTTAGTTGAGTATACTGAGCTGTATAATAATGTAGTGATTTTGTATTGAAATTAAATGTTTGATCACTGCAACTGTATTTTTTGGACTCTTTGGACTTCGTGTGCATGACAAAACCAAAATCAATCCAAATCACAGGTAGATAGGTAAAAGTTGAATTACTTGCACAATCTCAGGTCTGACTAAACCTACAGCCCCACTGCATAGAAGAAAGGATTAGTGTCTGTCTGCAAAAGAATGAGTGGGAGTCCACCTCTCTGAGATAAAAAACCTTAATGCGTACAAACAGACATACAAACCCTGTTCTAAAGTATGTTGGCAGGCTATATGCACACAACCTGTTTCACACCATGAATGATAACACTGGTAACAAATGGTAACAACTGTAACCTTAGTTGTAATGATCTTAATTCAAATTGTAATATTTTCGTGTGATCATTTAGAGTTGTACTTGTGGAAGTCCGTAAACATTTGCGAGGGGACTGGAGACTTGCGTCGAAGTTGATGAGCAAAATTACATGAAAAGAAAAATGTATGAAATGTACACTACATGTGAAGACGAAACAATTTCTGCAGGGATCACAAATACGTAAGCAAATAACAACAACAACGTAAGCAATAACACCATCGTCAGTCGTCTGAGGTAAACATCCAATGACCATAACTAGATATTTCCTGGTTTTCTGGAACATAACAGGAAATTCTCCTTGGCTTCTTGGCAAGTACAGATCTTGTGCAGCTCACTTAGGAGGCAGAACAATAAGCACAGAGTTGAACCAAAGTCATTTTTATTTGAGTATTGTGGGAAAAATATACCACAACCTAAACTCGTGTCCAACTCTGTGTGTTAGCTGCACACTATCTGTTAGTCATAATAATTAAAAGCACCTTGAAGATGAGCTCTGTTCACTATATCACATGTGTACAAACTGGTTCTATCCTGTAAATGGAGACATTGTCTGACCTACTGAGATCACTCATCTGACATGTTATGGGGTGTAGGACGTCTAGGCTGAAATCAAGGTACAATACTTAAGTATTATTAGGTATGTCTGTCCTTACATGTTGTACTAAGATCTCTGATATCATATTTGTGTTGGAATAAAACCATATGCGGAAGACAGGAAGTTCTATTCTTTTATTTACCATTAGTAAAGTAAAGGTTTTCTTCATCACTCACTGTTCACTTCATCTCTTCAACTGTATGCAGGTGGTGATTCTACAACTGCAGCATGCAGCCAGTTGAGGCACACAAAGGTATGTCTTTTACTGTCTGCATGTGGGCTGCCGTGCTTTTTCCTGTAATTATGTTAATCTGATGCATTCTTTGTTTGTAGGATTTTCTACCAAAAGCAAGCTGTACGATTCCCTGAAGGTGTATCTGAACAACAAGGACAGGCTACAACCCATCATTGGTCTGTAGCAACAACTTTCTATTTTGTTGTCAGTGTTGTGTGCTTCCCGTGTGTACTGAAATAATCAATCGTTTTTATGTGCATCCAGGCTTGGGTAGTATTATAGAATGTGTGAAGGCGGGTACAAACTACAGAGAAGCATTGTACCTGTGTGAGGTGTGTGCGTGTCGACTCAGTAAAGCTGACATACGGAACCACATTATGGGAAGCCTCCACAGATACAACTACATTGTAAGTAGCACTGTAGATTAATTCATGACGGCTGCTGCTTTAGATTGCAGTTCATTAACAGGCGGTGTGTTTTTCCTGACAGAAAGCGTGGCACCCCCACTTAGTGTCTGAATGGAAGGAGAACACTAACCTATCTAAGCTGGCTTGGCCACTGATGGAGAAAGCCAAGATACTTGAGGGAAAAGAGGGACCAGGAGATGTCCAGGTATGTTATTTTGACTGTGTATGTAGTTGAAAAGACAGGAGTGTTTTGAATATGAGTACTCATATCTTTTTCTTCATATTAAGTTGTTAGAGGTTGAAGACACTATATACCAGGAGATGGCTACATGCAGTGAGAATGACGGTCAGTGACTATTACTTATTTATAACAGTGGTTCTCAGTGTCCACCCCCTTTAATCCCAGTCTCGGTCTGTCACCCTTCATGTTTTTTGTGGCAATATATCCATATGTACATGTCCCATTTTGTTTGTTTACTCCATATGGGTCTCTTTCTCTCTGTAACACCACAGCAATAACTCTGATAAATGGGATAAATGGGCAGGGTGAACCTGAAAGCCATTCAGAGGCTACGTCAGTGCAGCTGGAGCACAACCCCATCCCATCGCATAGAATTGTGTTGCTTGCCAAGAACCAACAGAAACGGTCTCAGAAATCCTTCAAGACCTCAGCAGAGACAAACAAGGCTCCATCTCTGATACAGTCGACTGTGGCTCCTTCTGTCACATCAGAGGGCTGGTTAAACGACATGTCACTGTTGGACAATACTCAGATGTTACCCGAAACGTCTGTGCTATCAGACAACAGCAACAGCTTTCTCGATGGCTACACGGGAACCAAGCCTCTTATTGGTGAGCACAAATAAAGAAAAGCAACAACAGGTGGAAGAATTACAGTAAAATGGTTTTGTCAGCACGATTAAAAAGTACGCATTTACAGTAGGTTGTATGATAAGACGTTTCTGCTCAGATTGATTGTTGTAATGCATTGAAGCTGTATAAAAGAAAAAAACTACACTGTTACCTGTAGTAGTAGTAGTAGTAGTAAGTAGTAGTAAATAAGTTGCTGGATATCAGTAATAAATGTGTTTTTTGGTGAGAATATTACTGGATGATATATATATATATCATATATATATCTATCTAATATATAATCTATATATATAATCTTAAATATATTATATAATCTATATATTATATTCTAATAATATCTATATATATATCTATATATATATAAATAATATAATTAAATAATAAATATTATATATATGGTATTAGATCATGTAAAGGAAAATTTAAAACATTTTGGGAAATACTTTTGTTTTGAAGAAGGGTCTATACCACTGTCTTGTACGGTAAATATGTAGCCAACTGGTTAGCTTATGTCAGTTAACTGGAACTAGAAGCTTCCTAGAGTCCGCCACTGGGTTGGATCTGAAACCAGTTTCTGCCCAAGGACTAGTACGGCACATGTTTCCCTTTATTGTAAAATGGCATGCAGCAAAGGGCTGCAGGTTGGAATCGAACCTGGGCCGCTGTAGTAAGGACTCCTACAGCCTACATGGGGTGCACACTCTACCGGATGAGCCACTGTGCACCCCAGCAAAGAGATCTGACATTAGTGAGCTTTAGTGATGCTAGTAGATGGGTTTTGTTACCTTTAGAGACAACCAGACAGCATGTTTCCCTCCAGTGTGCGTGCTAAACTATGCTAACCAACAGCTTTCTCCAGCTACATACTTATTGTACTGTTGTGAGAGTGGTATTGACCTTCTTATCTAACTCTTGGCAAGAAAATCCCCAAAACGCTAAAGTGTTGCTTAAAAAAGCTGCTTATACGATTTTGCAACAGGTCTTTTCCGTGTGGTTGAGTGTAGAAGTGAAGATGGCCACACATACTGTTTCTTATGTCACTGCTGCCGCATCAGATCCAACAAAAAGGACATCATTGATCACCTAACCAGCTCTTCCCATCTTGTGAACTACTTGGTCAGTTTGTTGTGGATCAGTAATTGAAATGAACAAGAACGCAAACCCTTCACCATTATCTATCCAAAGGCTGTAGAGGTAATGCAAGGTTGTGTTAACTGAAAACGTCTGTGTGTAGATGGAAACTCATCCTGAGCAAATGGAGGTATTGACTGCAGATGTTGATGACAACTATCAGCTTCTCCAATACCGGGCCAAGAAAGTGGAGCAAGAAGAGGGCAGAGGAGAGCTGAAGGTATCATATAAATTTTTATGCAGAGATTCTCTCGCCATGTGCGAGGCGTAAAATGACTCTTATGTTATTTACCAAAAAGGTCTCATGTCCACTTGTACTCATCTGTCCATTAAAATGTTCAAACAATCTCGTGTTTCCAGGTTGTAAACGCACCAGAATCACTCTGTATCCTACTGACCGGCAAAAGTTACCACTGGTGTAAGTACAGATGTATGCTCGTCCACTGTTTTCTTTTTTGGCCATAAACCATTCAACTCTTGAGTGCCAAATCTCTGCTCTCGAGGAGCGATTTGTGAGGTACGTATAACTTTCTGCGTCCTCACATTGCTGCGGTTTCATTTTGTGAAGTGGTGGTGTTTTTATCTATTATCTGTTGTTGTATTATTCACACCTTTTAACTTCCCCATTCTTTGTTATTCTTTTTGAGCTTCTTTATTTTACCTCTGTTCAACCACTTTGACCACTTCTGTTTCTTTTCAAGTATTCAAACACACTGTTTTGAACTACTTACTTAAACTTTCTGACAATTGTTTCTGACTGCAAAGAGTTATGTATGTTTGCATTTTTTCTTTGTATACCCTTTTTGTTATTTTTCTGCTTTCCAGGCGTAAAGATGCTGTGTAATGGATGGACACACACAAACATCCAAAAGAGGAAAATAGCTGTCAAAGGTGTGTCTTTAAAAGCAATAGTTGACTTGAAGGGGTCAAGTAACTCAATATTTGTGTAGCACTGTGGGTCTGATTTACACTTTTTCTTAAAGTGCCCAGTGTGACAAATCAAAGAATGCCAGAGAAGTGCGCCGCCGTGCTGTCGAACCGCACCAAAAGGAGGACAACAAAGAGGAAGATGAGGAAAATGAGTAATACTGTGTTCAAGGTAAGCCTGCCTATTAACAAAGGTTCAGTGCTGCTGAAGAGGACGTCTTTCAGCGTGAACAGCCTCCCCGTGTCATCTGCGTACTCGCCTCCACCCGAAGACGACCTTATTCCCTCGCCAGAGTCTCAGTCGGAGGACTGCGAGTTGGACTGTGGCACTGGATCCTTAGCAGTTAACTACGCTGAACACACCTCTTCAGTTCAGCAGGACTTCGACAGTGGAGATGAAAATAAAGATGCTGGTCAGTACGTGGGACCAGAAAGAAACTTTGACAATCATTATCAAGAGAAGGATGGTTATTTAAGTCACAATGAGTACCTCAGCCAGCCTGAAACAAAAGACCCAAGGCTTTATGGGGAAAATAATTACAACGGTTCAGAATCCTGGTCATTTTATAACTCTTTCTATGGACATGAGGAAGGTTGCACTGAGCAGTGGTACAATTCAACTTCACAGAGTAAAGTTGGCACGAGTGTGGATGTGTCAAGAGAGGAGGGACAGAAGGAGATGAGCTCAGGTGCTACTCAGTATGATTACCAACAACAGCCCCAAGATCAGTACACGGCACAAGATGATGCTAGTCTTCTCACAGGCAGTGTGGGGCAGCATGGTTTTTCTGGAGAATTGGCTCATGTAGATGCTGCTTGGATCAACATGCATCCTCACTTAGGATACTCCCTTGCTCACAGTGGTAACATTACTCCAGGAGTACAGTTTCCTCAGGTTCAACAGAGACCGTGGCCAACATACATGGGGTTCATTCAGTTCCCTTCCACCGGCCATGTCCAGACAGCTCCACAAAGATATATGACGCAACCCACGGCCCATCAAGCCCTCCAAGTAGGCCATGGGGTAATGTCTAACCCCAACTGCAATCTGGGACCTACAACAACCCCTGAGCAGCAATTTCCTCATCCCTCTGTGATATGGAACCCACGTTGATCCTGTTTTCAGAGCTGCTGGTTTATCATGTTTGATGGACTTTATATGGAACACCTTCATTTATGTTCGAAAAGCCCAATGCTAATTCTACATATTTTGCTGCACCACATTTCTACCCAACTCACTTAGCATGGATTTTAACTGTGCCATGGCATTTTTTTATGTTCTTCTAAAATAAATGTATCTGATTTCTATTAGAAATGGAAATGGAAGGGTTTTTTGCCTGTAATGATATAACCTTCAGAGCCTCTGAGATAAGTATTTAGCTTTGTCCCCTTAGACTTTCAATTTCATTTCATTTTTATATCACCTCTTTTATATGAAACTGACTTTGTACCTTCATTCACACAAATCTAAAAACGGATGAGATTTTGGACCATTAAACTGAGATGAGTCTAGATTATGACATTTTTCCTTGGATGCACTTGGACATAGAGGTGTATATAGTGTAGTGTTGCATCATCTGGTTACATAAAAACAAAAGCTAGTGCTGAGAATTGTAAGCATCTCAATCTATGCTGGCAGAATTGGGGATAATGAGATGATTTAAAGTAAATTGTACAGTACTAGAACGTATTCATATATTTTGTGGTTTTATATGCATCCTAACCAAGTGAGGGTGCGAAACATTCTCATTATACGTTTAAAATCACACTGAGGGTGTGGCTTGCAGTTGTCACCATGCTGATCTGCTAACATCTACACTGTGCCGGAATAACTAAGTCATTTAAATAGGTGATGGCTCAGTTAAGGTTTGTGCTTAAGTAGACTTTTGAGAAGAAAGTTGATGGTTTGAAACAGGTCAAATGTGCTGCTTTGCTGATTGAATTTAACAGAGCACAGCTGTGGATACTTTAGTGCACCAATGAGTATGGGGATGTGAGACACAATATCAATTTCTTTGCGTCTTTGGAGTTAAAAGAGGAGGGTGAGGTGAAGGGGTTGTAATCTGCAACTACACCACTAGATGTCACTAAATCTTAAACACTGATCCTTTGATGGAGTTGCTGGTAGTAAAGTTTTGACTTCAGGGCTTTTACTTGACAATTTTTACACTGATATTGTTACGTTTTACATACTGTAAGTAAAGGATCTGAGTATTTCTTCTACTGCTGCTTACTGTGATGAATGTTTTTAGTCTACTGTACTCAAGTTTCCAAGCTCAACAGCTCCTCTTCGCACAACCTTTGCCCAAACATGGCCCTGTAGGGTACACCAGCATCAATGTCCAAGTCTTCTTACCTACAGTGATGCCATCATAAGCAAGCAGACCATGCCTGAAGATTACAATGTGTTAGACACTGTAATAGACATTGTAATATAATTGTTATTTCTATTCTTTAACATTGTGTGAGCACATTGAGCAACTGTAACAAACAAATTTACCCCCTTGGGAAGTATTTCTGATTCTGGTTAAGTACTTAAATTAATCTTATAATGAATTGTCTAACAGCATTAGCACAAAACGTGAACCCATAAAAGCATCACTCTCATAAACAAGATCAGGGAAATGAACACAGCAATAGTCACTACAATAAACTATTTTGTTTACTTTTTCAGAGACTGCAGGGTTTATTGGGTTGCGTTGAATTGAGTTGTCGAATAAACCTAAAACTGAATGTGATTTATCTTAATGTATCTAATGTATCAGAGCTAAGGCTGCCAGGTGGACATTCATTATAAAATCTGTAAATTCCTTCCGCCGTGAACGCACCTTCGCTGCCGTACGTCGATGCCCGGGACGTACGGAAGCCCGACGGAAGCACCTCTTGCAGGCTGCTGTGGATCGCCCCAAGCTGAAGCAGCAAGGCGGCCACCCCACGGAGAGGACGGCGGCAGCCAGTTAGCACAAACAAC